AACGATGTCAGTCGTGTGTATGTGACGGTGAGTGAAAAATCCAGCATCGACTTAATAAACGACGGTACAACGGAGCCGTCTCGCAGGCAGGCGATCGCACTAGCTGCCATAGCCCGCAGCCCGGATGCCCCAGTGTCCTGCCCACCCTGAGGTAATTGGTTGTGGCTACGTCGTCTTTCTGCTGCGGCCGTCGTTTCGTTGTGTCTTGCCATCATCGTTGTCTCCCCATTGGACTCGGCCGCACGTGTTGGTCATCTTTACACGTCGAATGACAAACACAATGAGTAGCCAATGACGGTGATGCTGGCGCGCAGAGCAAAGCATCACAACAGACAAAAGAATATTGGACACAGCTGTCGGCAACGCGATGGCGGCTATGTGTTGGAGACATGATGTGATGCGCTAAAAGCACGTTTCCTTAGCTCTAGCCCGCGCGCTATCTGTCACGCGAGGCGATCCTCGGATAACAGCATTGCATCGTATCCTCTACCTGGAACCACTACGCGACATTTGCTAGTATTACAACCCTCAGCTCAAACAATAAATCTCACCTGGGCTATACGGATGCAACGCACGAGACAGCTAATGCTTCGAATGGAAAGACACTACGCCATTAAAGTAGCGGAGCCCCAACCACCCCCACCTCCCTGCCCAGCCTTCGTTGATGCCACGGTCCTTGAAGCGGACTATGCAGTGCGAGTGAATCAGCGAACACGAGTAATGTTTCATTTATTAGTATGGACTGCATGTATATTTGTAGTATTTTTAAATTTCATGAGACAGTTTTTATTACGTGTGATGGCGGTTTGATGTACATCTTAAAGTGTGCACAGTTATGGCAATGTCTAGTGATGCTTGGCAATGCGCTGCTTTCTTTTGCGCATTTCTATTCAACGAGCAGGGAAGCTTCCTTTGTTAAGCTTCATAAACTCAGCGGTAACTTTAGACGGCCCTTCTTTACTTACTTTGATCAGCAAGTCAATGGTGATTTGTATCACGTCGAAGATTTTATAAAATAAATCAGTTGTTCCCGTAATATTTTTCGTCACTTTTGCTTTAAAAAAAATCAACGTATGTACAGCATACACAGAAATAACAAAGGGCTTTATTTAGTTACCCATATTAATGGCTTCATTATAGAAAGCAAGATTGATTAAAATATCCCGAATTTAATCAGAAGAAGCAATGACTAGCCCGTTCATATTCATCACCGTATCAAACACTAATATAGCCGTGTCCAGCTTTTTGAGTATGTTGAGATTTGGTCAACTTGATCCTTCGCGAACTTGTTACGCGGTAAAGATTAAAACAGCCAGAGAGTTTATCCGTGTTCACAGTAGACAGCCGTTGTTGACAACGACAAACAGCCAGCTCCGTATTTCCACATTTGTCGGATAGGAAAATGTGGTTCTTCGTTCAATGCTAATTGGAACCAACAGTTGCCTCATCAACTTTGACATATTTAGCACTTAATAGATTTTTCCTAGATGAAGTCGATAGGCGCAGTTCTCAAATGTTTGCGTTGCGGCAGGCCCATGCTACCATCTAAATAGTGCGTTTATTGATTTTTGCCTCGTCGAGATCATGCATAGCAGCACCGGTAACGTAACGTTTTCTACTAACCTGTTGTACAGCCAGTCTCTTCTTTTTGCCGGTTCTTCACGTTAATAGCAGCGTTCATCTTTTGGTCGCTCCAAGTGGGGGTCTGGCAGCCTACTTTTTCATCTGTCGTTTCTGGTAATTAAAACAAGTGCCCTTATCCCAATCAGAAGCCGTTGTCACCTCCCTCTTAATAGCTACTCAGTTATATCCCTTCGAGAAGCAGCGGCGGGACCGCGACGACCTCAGGGTAACAAAGTGGCTGACGAACGAACAGTCATGATTGGTAAGTCATCAGATTAGACAAAATTCGCCTTGTCGATTCTTGTGTTTTGAATATATTCGTGCACTAGCACTGCATTAGCGCTGTGAAGACCCGAACGCCCATCTTCAAATCTTACTCGTTGTTTACTTCTATTATTAAACTGACGAAGTTTCGTTCTTCGTGACCCACGTCAATGGTGACGGGTAGGCCGAAAGAAACGCGCTGAGACACCTCGTGCCATTTAAGTAACGGTCATTAAACCGCGCAACACGACGTAGCCGACACGGGACTGATCATTCGGAGTCTACAGCTCTTCGTGAAGCTGATGAATGAACGATGGGACGGGGAGCTGCAATCGTTATATAGCCACAACCAGGTTTGAGGCGGCCATTCATACGGGCGCTCGGGTCCCGTTTATCAACCCAGTGAGCAGCATATCTCACTAATGGGATAGAAGCCTGTTGACGCAGCATGATTCATAGATGTATCAATGCTTCACTAACGCGGATTGAGTACCACGTACACCAGCAACCATACAACGTCGCATGGTTTGGAAGTGAATTTCGCTTGGTCGCTAGTTGATATTGACTCGCCGTCGGCCATATCGAGCTAGTACATCTTAATAAGCCTCTGAGAATGGCTTTGTTAGTGTATTGTCACCCTGTGCTTGCCGTATTCTGTTCAAGTGTTATATATAACCAGTGTAGTTGGTTTCCCATCTATTGTCCCAATAAGTGAAGCATGTGATCATTGGATCGCACGATAAATCCGTTTTGTTTACCTGATCTACAATTTCCTGCAGGTTGTCCTTAGCGAGATCGTTGGCTTGGAGATTTTTAGGAAGAACTTGGCTGTACCATCAGCCCTGAAAAATTGGGCAGAGGACTGATTACGACGATAGAACTGGCAAGTTTTTCACGCGCAGTAGAAAACATGTGATGATCCTGATAATTGGAAAAACCCCTTTCAATTCAACTAACAGTACGTAATCTCATATCGTTAATCACAGCCCTTTAGAGGTTAACTGGGCACATTTATAACGAAGCGTACGAAAAAAAAATAGACATAAATTTATGCGACAGTTTTCACAAAACGTGGTTTCTACAAAGCTGTGCGTAGGCAGAGGTTTATAGTAAATGGTTGAAAGTAATATCTAGTTAACTAAATCCCCTGGAACATGGGAACAAGCAAAGAAGAGCGGAGATATATTTACTAGACGTAGACAGCAAGGAGCCATAAGAAAAAAAGAAAATCGGCTGGATCTTTTAAATCTGTTCTTCTTTGAAGCCCTGCAACGGCGCTTATGTCGCCGTTAGTGCCATTGTAGCTACGAGCTATCCAGTACGCTTACTCAGTGATACATGGGCAACGCTATCGTGTCCGAGGGATCAAACGTATCAAAGAAAAACTGCCCTCACTCAAGTACACGCCATCTGCTATCTGGTCCCTGTCCTAAGCACCACGCACCGCTACTGTATTTGAGTGACCAATGCAAGAGGAAACTGCTGGCGTGCTTTCATCTGTGATTGTTTCTTGGAAGGAGGACGAGTTGCTCCTCAGCGCCATCCTTAAGCGCTAAGGAAATAGCAAAAGGATCACTGGCTAAACCTTTCTCACCATCCGCTAAACAACTGCCTTTATATTTAAATACTACCGTAGAAGACAATATAGAAAGTCGTTGAGAATACTGGTTATCAGGTCTTCTTGAAGCCGTCTTGAAGGAGCTCACAGCAGTTCATTGATTTTTAAAACAATACCGATTGAAGAGACCCATATCGCACAAGGTGGGCTTAGATGGGTTTGTGCGAAAAAGTCGGCTTTTTAATAAAGCTAGATAGGGAATACTTGACCTCTAAGAACGAGTTGTGATTACGGCTACAGGCGACAAATTTTCCGGCACAGCATGAAGCCGCATTCTAAATGCCCAAATACTGGCATAAGCAGGAACAGTAATTTGTTGGTGAAGTAATAGCAAAACAAGCCTGTGCCATTATCATGACTTCGATGCAAACAACCCACAATTAATCATAAGACAAAATCGGAATATTTTGATTCTAGGGCAGCTTCTGTTGAGGTTACTGAATCGACAAGCACGACCCTTCCCTTTTATGGGAGACTCAATTAATTGGCAGTTTTAGATAAAGCGTAGACAATTGCTAGCATCTTTTTTGTTGAGATTAATTAGAAAGCGGAAAAGGCGAATTAGAAACGATGCTAAAAAATTAGGTGATTAAACTCCATTGCTTTCTATACGAAATAATTAGGCAGGTGCCAGACAAAAAATTGTTTTCTTGGATGTGTTTTATTGCCTGTAACGGAGATCAAATTAGCCTTGTTTATCAAGTATGATCATAGCACGGTTTTTTTGTTAATTTACCAAATAGACTGAGTCAAACCTGGAGCAGGATCTAGACAAGCATTGGTCAAGTAATAATTAAGGCCAAAGTGTGGCCAATTATTATCCACTTAATTACAAGGTTCACGTTCTATATACTAATTTGGACGTTTACAACGTTGTTGATTAGTTTTAATGAGGCTGGCATTACGAACGACTAAGCTAGCAGGAAAATAGTTAGCGCTGTATTTGTTTTCAAGTATTTATCCTGACAAGATACCTCTTAAAATTTAACTCCTAGAATATGTTACGTAGTGACGCTTCAGACGCGGGCCACCTCCAGGACTAGGAATTAATGTTTTAGTCAAAGCTTGAAGTTCATATTCATCACAATGTGCGAAATGTCCTTTGCCAGATACAGTTTAAGAGCGTATTTGTCAATAATAATAACAAAAAAAACTTATTTTTTTTGTATTTTTGTTAGAGAAAGCAGCCTCCAGCCTTAGATGAACGGTCCATTAGGATGAACTGAATAGAATCCCTTCAGTAGCTCAAATCAGAGCTTCAATACGATATTGCTTATTAATTTCGCAGATGATATGTCCACGGCTCAATTCCTCTTGCTGGCTTCTGCATCCGTGCATGCGACGATAACGTGATTGAGGGAGGGTGTACGTAAGACGCCTTAATCGCCATCGAGTTGCTAAAAGATAAGCATGTCTGTCTAATAGGAAACGAGCGGGACAATGGTGGAGAACTCCTTCTACCGTCATCTCGCAAAGACAAATGGACAGCGTGGGCTCACGCTGTTTGCCTAGTAGGCGGACTGCGTCGGTAACGCTGACGCCGATGGTGGAAGTAGTAACGGTAGCCAGCGGTACCGGGCATCAGTGGTGGCTAATGGCAGCGGCTGGCGATTGCGGACGTTCATGGAAAGCGGCGATGGTCGAGCCGGCGAACAGAGAAAGAAGGCGCCGGACGAAAGAAGAAGAAGGTGGAAGAGATCATTCGAGAGGGATCTTCGATTGGAGAGCGCTCGTCGAGCCTCCGGGAGATGCCGTGCTCGTCGTCGGCTGACTGCAATTGCCCTGGCTGCGATAAGCTGCCAGGACAAACGAGCTCGAGGGTCGCGGGTGGCATACTGCTTTTCGCCTCCGCCGTCCTGATCTTCGTGCTTATACTGTCCGTGCAGCCGACCGATTACGAGCTGCATGTCGCATCAAATGAGGAGATCACACATAAGCCTATCGTCGATAAGGCGGACTATGTTAGTCTACGGCTGCGAAACCAAATGGATGTAGTGATCGCCTCTGATTTAACGCTAGAGGATGCCGAGGTCGCGCTCTGCGTTCGAGTTGGGTCATGGTCCGACCCCAAAGAACTTCAGGGCCTGGCGCATTTCACCGAGCACGTGCTATTTTTAGGGAATAAAAAGTATCCTGGAAAAGGCGATTTCATCAGCCATATTCAGAGCAATGGCGGGACCCTTAACGCTCGGACGGGCAAGGAAAGGACATGCTACTTTTTCAGCATCGATCCAGATCACTTAGAGACCGCTATAAATATGTTCGGCTGGATGATGAAGGAGCCTCTAGTTATGCCCGAAACGGTTACGAGTGAATTACAAAATGTCGACAGTGAGTACAAGCGATTAATGAATCAAGATGGTCGCCGCGTGGAAGCTGTAGATAGCGAGACATCAGACCCCGGTCATCCGCAGCAAATGTTTGATTGTGGCTCATCCCATAATATGATGCAGGGTGTAGAAATATTGAAATCGCCACTACACGTTGAAATGGATAAATTCTATAGGTACTACTATTCGTCTAACTTAATGGCGCTTGGTGTGCGTGGCCCGTTTGATGTGGACACTCTCAAGAAGTTAGCGGTTAAGAATTTCTACGATGTGCGGAATACTGGAGTCGTTCAAAAGGTCTGGCCTGACCCTTACCTTCAAACTAGTGGCAAAGAAATCTTTGTAGTTCCAGCACGGGATGTCAATGATTTATATATACGATTTTCGCTACCCAATATCACTACAGCCCGTGAGACATCTTTACTAAAGACGATTCTCCGCAGCGAGCATGAAGGCGGCCTTGTCAAGAAGATCAAGGACAAGTTATGGACATCGACAATATCGATCTACGATGAAAATTACGTCGGAAGTACGACGTTATCGATCGAGTTCCATCTAACGAAGGTCGGCCTCGATCATCGAGCCGACATTGTGGAAATGACATTTGCGTACCTAAACTTCCTTCGTCAACGTCGAGAAGATGAATTTCTGGAGATTTTTGAAGATTTGCGTGATGTTGAGGAATTGGAATTCAAATACTTTAGTGCCAAAGAGATAAGGAAAACACGGCGGGATTATGTATATATATTGGATTTGGTTGAAAATCGAATGATGTACGATATAGACCACGTAATATCAGGTTCGCGATTATTAGGTGCCTTTGATTTTGCCTTCCTTCAGTACATGCTTCGACAGCTTGTGCCAACAAATACTCGAATCTTTGCGGTTTCACAAATCTTCGCCAATATGACAGACCGTATTGAGAAGTTCTATCAGGTGCACTACACGGTGAAAAACATTACTGAGAAGCAGGTAGCACACTGGAAGGCTGCCCGGTCGGATTTCTCGCTTCCATTAAGAAATACATGGATACCACGAAATGTGACAGTGGTTCGCACGGACTCGAAGTACATTAAAGAACCAGTACTAGTAGCAAATTATACGACGTCCCGACTGTGGCTGCTACAGACAAATTTTGGAGTCCCAAAAACCGACGTGACAGTATACTGGAAGACTCATATCGACGGACCCGATTCGACAAACGGAGTAGCGACAGAGTTGATCCTGAGGGTGTTTCGACGGTCTCTTAGCGACCAACTTTACATGGCAAAGAATACAGGTCTTAACGTACGATCGTCCCTCAAATCACGTGGCTCCTTTGGCAACTATGGGTCGCTAATGTTTGGTTTTAATGCGTATAGCGCTATCCTGCCAAGAGTAGTCGACCTGGTCTTCCAACATTTCCAGGAGTTTAACGTTGATGCTGAAACCCTAAGAATGATTAAAGACGTTTATCGAATTTCTCTGATGGAACCCGAACTGTATTCTACAGTTGAGCATTGCAACATCCAGGAACGTCTACTCCTAAAAACCAACCTCACTTCGCGGCAGGACAAAATCAAAACATTGGAAAATGTAACTATCAACGAAATTCGCCAAGTTCTATCGATAATTCGAAAACCCGAACTAGTGAAAGTGTTTGTCTCTGGAAACATAGAGAAATCAGTAGCAGAGGAAATGTTTACGAAGATTGTTCCCACTATCGGTAAGTTCTTTGTTCACCGTCTGACCTATCAGCAGATCTGTTCCAAGTTCTCTATATTTCTGTGAAATATTTTCAGATACCACGTATATTTATTTGGCCAAAATTAATCTTGGACGAAGTGATGAGATCGAATTAAAACATATTCAAGCAAAAAAATGACGTTCCCTTGTCTCATAGAGCAACATAATAAAATTATAACATTTTCGGGCTTGGCATTGGCCTCTCTAAGGGTTTCATGTTAGAAAGCTAGGTTCCGATAATATACGTTTCCAAATGAAGTGCGACTTTATAAAAAAAGTACGCTCAGATCAGAAACGGCTGAAACGATGTTCTGTGAAGTATTTTGTCAAAGTTTCGTGCGTGCGAAGAAGGCGCATTGGTTGAAACGTTGCATTTTTCTAAGGTCCGAGTAATCGAATTCTAAGGTGTACGTTTAAATTCCAAATGCAGTACTAGAGATAGAACGTTTCTGTTTCATATGAGCGACTGCCTACGAGAACTCAGAAATCTCCGTAAGTCATCAGGAAACAGGGCAACGGGTAACTGTAAAGAAGTCTGACTTTTGTCGGTTTATGTTGAAGACTTTTTAGAAAACTTTAGTAATTTTACATTGCTTGCTTCGTTTCTGTTAAATGAGTCACACTATTGCTGCATATATAATAACTGCGTTAATTATATAGTTTGCCAATTGCGAGGACATCAATAGGATGGGTTTCATATTGTTTATTGGGAGGAAATTGATCGTCGGTCAGTTTAGGAGAATCACAATCTGTCACTGACCATTATATTAAAAGAACAATATCTTCGCAGAACATGCGCTGATACGTTAGCTTTTTTCGAAGCAATGCTATACAAGAAATTTGACTATGAGCCTAGAATTTGTTTTTGCTTAGTAAAAAAAAAAGTGTTTCCCACAAATCTACACAAAGAGCGGACTAACTGAAGTTCGGAAAGCATGCTAAAGTAACAATGAACAGCGAAATGTCTTTCGGCCAGAATTTGCCTCGTGAGAAAAGGTGGATCGTAGTCTATGCGACGTTAACGTTGCTGCTGTCGTTTTGCTCCCGCTAAAATTCAGAATCCGTTGTTAGGTCCAATCAGCTTTAAATTCCCCGTAACTTTTTTTCACGTTTCCATATTATCCCAAAGGAATGACTGCTGTACGAAACTCCAACGAACACCATTATAGCCTACGACGTAGAGTGGCATTTACCAGGCGCCAATACAAACATCGTACCCAGAAGGCTAATTGTGACCTAAACAGATGATGCCTCCGAACTTTTTATTTTCTAAGCTCTGTTTGAAATTTTTTTCAGCGAAGAGTAGTCCAAGATCAATGGGAAGCAGCACAAGCTTATTCTACTACACTACCAGCCTAAATAGTAGTTTTAAGAGAAGTCTGCACTCCATAACTAAGCTTTGACAGAGAAATTAATTTATCCTGTTGGTTTATTTTCTATACTTGTCTGAATCAGTTCGATCTAATAAACCTTTAGAGAATACGTACGATAGATGGAGCTAACTAAATCAAGAATAGTTTAGAAAAAACGTGATCCCGTGATTTAAGCAATATAGACGACATTGCATGCTATACGTATGCAAACAATTGCCGCACATTGGAAATCCTAATTTATTTACTTATACATTCATTGATGAATCCACGAGACCTTACCTAAATACTAAGCTATTTACGAATTAACCGAACTATTAGAACTGAAGGCATGCGACTCTTCGAAGACGTATAGCTGAAGGCTAACGTAGAAGTTATAGAGTGAAAATGAGCAAAAAAATTTTTAGGCCTCAAATAAATACAGCTTTTTATAGTATTAAATAATTTTGATGGTTAACGTTTGAGGTTTGTGCTACCAACACAGATCTACGGAGCGAAATTCGCGTACGGATTTCGGTTTCGATTTCTGCTTTTCGATTCTTCTGGAGATCTTAGTGGGGATACGGTCTTACATTAAAGATAATGTAATCTTTTCATACATCTCTCATATACATCGGATACATCGATGATATTAGCTTTGGAAGGATAACGATTAGAAAAATTATAATAACATTAAGAAACTGTGTTCGATGACCTTGAAAATTGCACTGCAATTTATCTGCCTTAGATGGCAGTGGTTGCGAGTTCAAAAACACACCCAACGTATACCCTCCAGCCATACTTAAACCCGTTCTAAAGTCGCGAATTCATTCCCGACGTCAACCCCATGGAGGCCAACTAATGGGACAGAACCATTAAGAATATAGCGGAATATATCGAAGTATAGGCTGTCAATAGAAATGGTCTTTTGAGAATGAGTTTCCAATTAGAGCTCAGCAATTTTTGGGATGATGTTTAGCTTGTAGCATTATATTTTTTATATTGGATTACCATGATTTAAAGTCTACGCAAGACATACTCCATAAGGGTTTCGAATAGCCGCTAGCTTTAAGGCGCGAAGTGAAAAAAGCTCTGGCACAGGTCCTGCTCACGAAAATTATCAAGGACCGGACGATTGTACTTCATAGTAGAGGATTTATACATCATAATTGCAACTCGGTAAATGAAGAACTTTTTTTTTTCTAAATAATTAGCCTGATGTATCTAATGCTACAGATACGAATTGGCTTCTTAACCTATATATAATATATATTAGACAGGTTTATTATTTTTCGATGGTCGACCATTTGATCAGCGATGTGCGATTTTGAATTTGCTTAACATCGTGTCCTTTGCGATCTACCTTTATAAATGGTCCACGCAGGAACTCTAATAAATAGGAACATAATAATGTTGTCTATGTCGAAAGAGTCGGTAGCTAGCTGCGAAAAGAGTCAGATACTTCTTGTAGTTCGGGAAATCAGTACTTCAGATTATTAGCTTCAGGATATTAACGGTAGATACTTGAAAACCGCCTTATTCTTAGACTGGTACTTCTTCTATAGTTCACTCACTAGCTGTTTCTGTGTCCTGACGGAAGTTTCCGGCATTACTCATTTATAGAACCTGAAGGCCTTACTGGGGTAACAAGCTGAAACGATCTGGTGAAACTCAGTAGGAGAAACGATTATGACTGTATTTATTTATTGCCTTTTACGTTGTTAATAGGATTTTTACTGGAGAATCGAAGTTAATCCCACGCCCAGATTCAAATCTAGCTTACCTCCGTGCCTTTATGCTTAGAATTTAAACGCGGTACGACCGCACAACAAAGCGAACAAGCTGATATCATATTCTATAATAGTTTTTTTTCTAAATTCTTTCAACATGTAGCATCTTAGCAACAGTTGATGATTTGATACATGCCAAGGTTTATCAGGACGCAATAGTTCGGGTTGTGATAACGACATACGTTCAGACCTTGCTTAGACGTCTGCCGGTAAAGCTAGAGGCCTTATTTTCCAACAATTGCAGATGGAATTTTAGATCGAGTACGGCGATCTAATGGCGTTCTGTATACAGACATAAAAATGACGATGAGTATCGATATGATGAAATTTATCCCACTGTCATGCACTTGTCTAAGGCCTATAATCACGTCGGATGTCCATCAGAGCCCTTTTAGAAATATTTTATACTTAACTACGATTTGAATTACCCCAACGATAGTGCGGTAAATGCACGGTTTGGGAGACTGATTGTCGTCTGGAAACTGGGTCTCGTAAACTGGGCGACTTGACTCGTCGTTCGGTGCTTCCATTAGCGTAAGAAAGCCTTGTACCTCGAAAGGTAAGTCCAGCTGTTACCGATGAGGGCCTTCAAACTAATGCTATTTGTTTTTAATATTAGTGGTAAGCTATTTTTTGATTTTGAGTTAACAGAACTAATGGATCATATTAGATGTGACACAAAGACGACGATGTATTGTAGCATCTGTACAACAAGACTAAAAGATCCTCTCGTGGCTAGAGCAGCGCGAACGTAGCCGATATCAGAAATGCTAGACCACTAATAAACTGTAGACATTACTAGCCTAAATCGAAGTACACTCTGGATGCTCGTAAATGTCCCTAGGTTCCCAATGGATCAATTTCATGCTGCACCTTTTTGCCTTATTATACTGTTACTGAACTGAGGACGGTGGTCTATATGAGTTAACGGTTAGTTAATACTACCGTTGATAGCAACAGAAGAAAGTTCCGTCACTCCAGGCCCTGAAGGAACCTGTAACAATTCAGTTAGTTTCGAGGAAGAAACCCTATGCAAGATAACTAAATTTTTAACTCCACAGGATAGACTCAAATGCACTAAGCGTGAGTTACCTAGACCAAAAATGCCATTGTTTGACAAAGCTAGAAACATAACACTCCAAACGGTACGTTCTTGTTTCATACATGGCTAAGATAGAATGGCTCTGAGAGTGCGATTTAACTTAGTGTAGATTTGGGGGCTGGCAAAGAATTAAAATAACTTTTTTTATCTTTATAGGTAAACAAGCAGTCGATACGAATGCAAAACGCATATCTGAACCACATAGGCCTATCTTCTGAAACCTGACCGACCACAGATCCGGTAACTGGAATTTGCACCAAGCTTTTGGTCCACATCAGTCTCAAAAATGCCGAGCTTTTTTGATGTGTGCTTATTTCAAAATCAACGCTGCTGTCTTTATAAAAATACCGTTCGAATATGGCCGTTATCTGTTTTCAGAAGTCTTCAGGTCTTCATATCAAGACCGAGTGACTCTCGCCGCTCGTTTGCTATAGCCATTGTAATTAATATTAACCGTAGAAGATAGGTTTGAGGCTGTACTGTAAATAATCTGTTTCAAATCTGTACAAAAACGAGTCGCCTATGATGCAACGGTTTTGACAACCCATAATCCGAACCTCAAAAATGCACACAATGGAGAGTTTGCGTGATAGAACTAGATGTAATAGCAATATAATAATAAAGCAAGCAGCATTTTGAGGTTTACCGATGTCCACTTCTGAGCTCTTGTTGTATAAGGAAAAGCGAAGTCATATTGACAACTGCCATTACCTCTGTGTGTCCCAAAAGCAATACAATTATTTGTATGACCTAGACAAATTAGGTCTATTGTTAAGCCTTCATTCGAAATTTACGGGAAGCTTCCACTTCGTAGTCATGAACCGTTTAACTGATCATTGAATAGCATATTATTGTGCATTCAAAAATAGAACAAATATTCAAGCCAAAGGACTCTTAGTAAGATAATACGTTTTAGACAAGGATAGGGTTAAACTTCGTCCTGGCATACGTTTACCTGCGGTAGATGCAGCCGTCCGACGGAGCGTCTAACATCGATATAGGACGTAAAACTTCAAACATGGATATGCAACAAACAGGCTCCTGGAGAACTATTGCGCCGCCTATCATCAGCTGTGCCTATAGCCGAATTGAATTTTCTAAATGGAAAACATCCGTTTTTTAGGAATCGCAGAAGGCACCTCTTCTTCTTCTTCTACCAAATAATACATAGGATATTCATAGTGGATACTTAGGCTTGATGTTTATACGAATCTGTGAATGTGGAAAAGTTTTTAACATCGTGTACAAATCACATTTATTTGCATACGTATATTTATATAACTAAAAACGTATTCGGACTTTAAATGGTTGCACGCAAGGTGGAGTTCTTGCGGGTTTTTTCATGTCGAAAAACTGATCCCGAACAAATAGTCTTCTCAGATACTCTTTCCAAATGACTAGTAAAAAAAAATAAGTTCTGCCTAGATTGGTGCGAGATAGCGACACAAGGGCAAGTTCACATTAAGGGCACCATTGATAGGGCGAAGTTGGCCATCGACCGGATAAGCTATGCTCATCAATATTGATCTTTTTTTTTTTTCTTAATTAATCTAGATGCATAAGGGTGTCCTCTGAAGTTTGCTAGTGCGACGAAGAGTAAGCCGTCGACGAGAATGACAGCTTTTTGCCAGGTTCACCTCAGTGGTAGGAAATCATTCTCGAGGACTAGCATCCTCGGCGATGATGAGTAAAATTAGCCTTTTTCCGACTACCATTACAGCCAACTCATCGTACCTGGCTAGCTGTGACGATCTTCCCCGCAAGTATGGCTTGCCGCCGGGAAGCCTGTTCCATTACGTTGGCTATGACGAGGGCCAATCGCAGCGGTCGGTTACGACATATCATGAAGTCGGAGTCATTTCGTCGGACAAAGAGGTTATGCTTCGCGAATTGCTCGTTCATATTGCTAGCCCCGAAGCGTTCAATATTTTACGGACGAAAGAACAACTTGGTTATGGCGCAGGCGTCATTTCTGTTGTGGATTCACGCTCCCACGGTTAGTAGAAACTGTATGATCTCAATCAATCAATAATGAGTATAATTTCAACCACTAATGAAACAGTTGGAAGAACTATAGTGCTAATTCTATAATGTTAATAGATCGTTTGTAGAGGAGCATATTAGAATGGCTGAGAGCTATTATTACGACCGTTTTACCTCTTTCGTTCTAACCGTACGATACAGTGTAGGACCCATCATATTTCGTCTAGTGAAGTCATTGTTAGAGCGGTCGCACTGTTCGCAAGCTTCATTTATTCAAATTCTCGTTTTTTCGCTGAACCTAGGTCTAATGACGTACGTGGAGACAAAGAATAATACCAATTACGTGATGAATCGTATTTTCCACTTTATGAGGGTAAGTTTACTCAGACCTATTCATACAAATTAAATCACTTTTACGTGGTCCATTGAATTTTCCTAAACTCCTAGGTGTTTTGATAAGAAGACCACGTTTAGTAACTGAGAAGAATCGACCCCAATCGATGAGCAAAACGAATACAATCATCTTTCGCAGGTTCTAGCAATCTATCGTCAACAAGGTGTCTTGTTATTGCATTCAGGTTTATCTTCGTCAGTACATCAACGATCTAACCGAAGAGCAGTTTAATCAACATCGCTCTGCTGTACTGTTGAAAAAACGCCTCAAACCAGTCAAGAAGGTTGAAAGGTAATATCGCATTAACGAGAGTGAAAACATTAATGCATTGATTCATCGAATGAACGCATGCTTCCTAAAGGTATCCTCAATTGCATTCGATTAGTATTTCCGCCGCCACAAAACTAAATTTGTTTGTTAAACTTCTAATTCAAGTATTGTTTTATGACTAATTTCAGGTTAGGATCCGAGTTGCTGGACTGTAATTGTGACTACACCAGAGAAGCAAGATATGCGGCCATCTTAAGCAAATTAACGGTCGATGACGTTAAACAGTTCCATCAGACCTACTGTAACGACGACCAAACCTGGAAGGTAGTGTTATTAGTGGTCCCCAGATGGATACGAATACGTGCATTTGTTCGTGTACGACGGCTATTTCGGCTATCGTAGAAGACTACAGTGCGGTAGTGCCATTTATTGATTAGCACACCAATACCCTAGTTATTCCTATCCTATTTGGTGCGCAAGTTATGAATTCGAGTAGAAAGGACAAGGATAAGTTCGAGTCAGAGATAGAATTCTGTATCAACTGCCAACCCGTCTTTTTCTATCTATAAATTGAACGTTGTTGTGATCCTAGACCGTCTACTATGTGAGAGAATGATACATTAAGCGTTTTTGATGAACACCATATGATGTACAAGTAATTTTATTTATACAAACATAAAATAAATGTTACGCAGTATTTTCATAGTTTTGTCACATTGTTTAGACCAAATCACATCGAACGTTTATGTTATAAACGAGCTTTTATCGTGATTACAAAGTTTAATCTCGGATTTGTTTTTGAAGTGAATGTACAATTTCCATCTTTTCTGATGCAAAAACTGTATGTAAAGTTAACGAATGAGCCTTTTCAGTGCATTATGTAATTTTCCTTAAAAACCGCTTTTTAAAATCAGTTTGTCGTTTTTCGCTCATTAAACAGTTTATGCACCCTCTACGGTTTCTCCTATCCTACAAGGTGTTCATATATTATGATATGCTGAAACTCATGATATTTAAGCGTTCTAGATCGGCGTAAAATTTTGTAACTCGGACAAACCAGAGCAGATAAAAACGTTTCTCACCCATACAGATTTAGCAGAAAACAACAACTTGAAAACGAGAGTCAGTACTACTATGAATGACCCCTAGCTGAAAGGGAATCACAATAAGTGGCTGAACCTGTCGACTCCAACTGCACAGAAATGGGTCGATATATACAATTCAGTCAGAAATTTTTATCTAAAAAAGGTATTACTACAATAGATTAATAAAACCTTCCATGCGTGATTTCTGACTGATCAGTCTCTAGCAGTTTCGTCTGTACGAGAGAACTGATATGAAAAGCACAAATGCTGAGGTCATACAATCTCAAAAAATCGGTTAAATAACAATTCAATAATAATTTTAGGTAACTTTTCATGTAATGCAATACAAAAAAAAAACTGTCTTTCAGGTGATCGTCACAATCATCGAGAAAGATGCCGGTGATACACAAATCGGACAAGGCTTTCCCCGCGACCCTAAGGAAAAATTCTCTGACATCGCGCAGTTCCAAAACAAGCTCAAGCTTCTACCACCTGTAAAAAGCAGATGCCGGTAGAATGCCAAAATAAGAAACAAATACCGAGTTCATATAGGTTGGTTGCAATCAAAGTGGTGGGCTGATTCTGGGGTGCTGGGTAAAATGAAATCATATATATATATATATATTATGTTGAATAACGAAAAAAGAAAAACACCGTAAAGTAGCAAATGTTCAAAAAAAAGGCACTACTTAAATTTGTTTCTATTTCTAACATTATAGATTTGTACATGACTTCATTGGGGGGCGTGCGTGTGCTTGTAATAGTATACCTAATGAGCATTTATATGAAACGACTCAAGGTAATTATAACATGATGTTATTACGACTTAGACGTAAGCAACAAAAAATCAACCAGTTAATTATCTATTACTGTAAATTTCTCGGCAGGTCATATTAATGCTCACAAGCACAAAAATCACATTCGCTTATATACATACATATATACATACATACGTACATACATATATACATACATATGCATTGCTACGAACACAAAAATCTGCTTCTCACCAATTGTTTAAGGATTTTGGGCGGATGGCCGTGTGCAAGGTATCTTCTTTTGTTTTTCATTTGTAAAGTGAATCAAGGAAGTGTGTTATGGCGCGTAACATATACGTAAAGACGGAGGAACCAAATGTTTATTGGCGGTACTCATTACTCAACTATATCGCATCATTCCATTTACCATTTGTTCATCACGACGTGTGAGCACAAACCTAGAGGAGCTTTCCCGCATCTCGATTTGAGTATCATCAACTGGTTGAAAATAAAAGTAAAACGACCCGTACATTTCGTATTAACAACAAAAAACATGTTATTATTAAGGTAGCTGGACGTTACATACTTTTCTTCATGTTCGATATCACTAGCATCATTATATAAACTAAACGTTGTCAGATTCCTTTATTATGCCCCATTATCTCATAGCCTAACCTTTGCAGTCATATAACATCAACGAGTTGACAGCTTAAACTGCCAAATTTTGTCCATCCTGATCTGCAAAGAAATACCATTTTATTCAAAGGCTCGTTCAATGCAGAAGCCTATCGTAGATGGCTCAGGTCTAACTCAGTATCAGTCTTCATCGTTGTTTATTTACTGAAAAGGATTTGAATCAAAATTGTTGTCTTTGTGTTTTTGCACTTACCCGGTTATGGAGGTGCTGCGGAAATTCAGCAACTGAATTGCCAAATTGCCACAAATATTATTAAAAATTATTTGACTTGTGTGCATTTGGCGGCAAACGTTTGTATAATCCCTAGCAGAAACTAGTATGTCTCGATTAATCTCACATAAATCAAATGTAAATAACTGACTTCAAAACAAGACTTTCTCCATTCTTCGATAGAGTATATATATATATATATATATATATATATATATATATATATATATATATATATATATAAACAGATATTACTTTCGAGGGTTCCACCCTAGCAAAAGACACAGCTAAGTTGGTAAAGTTTGAATTCTACATCCATAATCAATGAAACTAAACGCTTAAGCTCTACAGATCGGGTGGCGAGCAATGTAAGGAAAAGACTGACACGCTCGTTGATGTTGCAAAATGAATCCATATGTTGTTGGATTAAGGAGTGCCTCAAACGATTGCACTGATTATGTTATGACGAGCCGTAAGGAGTCCGCTTCAAAAAAGGATAGACGATATGCAGCCCTTATAATAAGATCATTCACGCAAACAATTCTACGAACGTGACTACTAAAATTCGTGCAAAACTGTAAGTCATTGACTCCATTTCCACAGAATATAAATAATATGTCTAATAAAAGTCGGCTTCGCCCGAGTGGGTGTGTGCGACTTAAATTACGTAGGTAGGCA